TTTTTTTTGTTTCACACTTCACCGTGTGTTTTGCTGTAGTGTATTCTATAAATTTTCAAAATGAATGTCCAACATAGAAAAGGTATGTTGATTTTGCAGCCTAAAGACACGTTTAAAAGAAAACACATTTCAAAAATAATTATAAAATAGGCGATTGTTGTGAATAAACGTAGCGCCCGGTGGTATTCACGCAGGTTCGTTAACGTTCGTGGTTTTATTTTGTCTTAAGTCTTTGACTATGTCAAGATTAAGAAATAAGGTGAGTGGACTGTTTGAATGAATGTAGAATGAATTTTACAATATATAATTATAACTATTAAATGTATTATACATGAATCATAAATCTTCTATACACTAATGAGGATAGAGGGATACTTAATACTAATGCCACAATGGCGCTGATATAAACAAATCATAAATTATAAATATTAGTAAGTCTTACAAATAGATGAACAAGCATCACACTTATCGGCTAATGACAGTGTTGAATATTGAAAGGATAAATTGAAGTCGAATGCAAGTAGCTGACCAACGTGTACAATATGCTGCGAACGGTCTGTGATGTATCTCAGAAAATATATAGACCCAACGGCGATATACTGAGCGCACAAGGGTGTGATAATCGCAATGATGATATTTTACTTTTATAACAAAAAAAATACAAAAACTACTGGCTGGCGAGCGCCACAGAGCTTATAACTAAAATGCGCCAAGATAGCGGCGACAACGCAGATATAGAGAAAAAACCTATAACAACTCGATGTAGCACAATGATAGCATAAATAATCACAACACAATTTCTCGACAATATATTGATGTGTATTCAACATCTGGATTCACCTGATCAGACACGTAGCCAGAAAATGTTTATTGGAGGGGCCAACAATTTTGGGCCCTTGTATCATTTTCCATAATTTGTTTCCCATGAAAAGTTTGTGAGGGGAGGGGTTTCCCTCAACTCCTCCTTAGACAGAATCCCATTCTATAAATCTTACAAGTCCAAAATTTTACCATTGATTGGTTAAAAACAAATTGTTTTTGTATAAAGTATACTAATTATTACAGTATTATAAAAAATGGATAGTGCCTATAATTAAAAAAAAAAAAATTACTTTCATCATCACTAACGGGATGAATTTTTCATATTGTGAAAAATAAATAAAATAATGATGTGAACATAAACTGATTTAATTTTCAACCTTTAAGCTATTAAGAAAAAATAATTTATACCTAAATACTAATAACAAATAAGTTATAAATATTTTTTTAAATAAATATAAATTATAAACAATGTAAAATTTATTTTATTTTAAATTAAAAACAATTCCTGCCTAGTCATATTTTTATTACTATTATTTAGAGAACGCAAATAACAAATTAACAAAAACAAATAAATTACTTATTGTAACTACTAAATTATAAAAAAAGAAACAGATTAAAGATAAGATTTATCAAAAAAATTTCCATAGAGTATTACTTTATCTATAATTTTGTAATCTACTAGATTCTAATCAATGCAGATACTTGGTAGTTTGTGATCATTTGTTGGATCAGAGTTAAAAAATTTTTACCTACAACCACGTTTGGAGTAACTGCTATTCCATTTATTATTACGTCTAGAACGTTATCATTTTCAAATAACGTTTTTTTTCTGAATTAAGAGACTACGAAAAGAGAATAATTTCAGAATGTCGAAAAAATTATTTAATAAACTACTTCCAAAATTAGAAAATGGGCTAACCGTAAATAGTAACTTTTGCGTACCTACTTCGTCGGCAGGAGGGTGTGAATTACATTTAAGTAAGTAATAAATATTACTTAAAATCAATTATTTAAGCACCTAATTTTATAACTACATAATAATTATAAAAATTATGACAATGATCAAAATAATCACGGATATTTTGTTTATAGCAATATATTAAGGGTTTATAAAAGTAATTTTTAGTATTTTTTTTATTCTTCTTAAAAAAATAAAGTAATTGGACAATTCACTTTTTGAAATTATTGTTATAAAAACACAATATCTTGACCCACTTAGCAGTATTTGTAATTATTCATAAATCTTACTATCTTTTTATTTTTAATAAATACATCCATACTATTTAATTAGCTTTAATTTGTAGATACTTAGTATCGGATAACTCATTCACAGACTTTCATTACTACTATAGAATAGGACTATGTACTATTAGTAAAATAGTATAAAATGTACGCGATGAATTATGGGAACTTAAATCTGAAGTTATGCCTTGGTCGGATCAGAAAAAGTGTAAAGAAATTCATTTGGGTTTTGAAATCGATTCTAACTTTGCAAATTGCATCGGCGCTTTGGACGGTAAACAATTTGCTTACTCAAACCAACCTGAGTGAATGAAATTTTTAAAATTACTTACATTTCTGTTCAATAGTTTTTGTAACTATTTGTAATTCAAATCATTGTTTTACTTTTATTAATGTAGGAGCTCAAGGAAAGTATTGTGATGTACAGTCTTAAAAAAGTATATATTTCAAAAAACTTGAAAATAATGAACCCTTTGTATCATTATCGACACCCTAGTTAAATCTAATGAAATCCATTACTGTTTGTAATAGTTGCTGATGAAGCTTTTGGTGTATCTCAAAGTATACTTAGACCATATGCACGAAGCAATAAAAATTACAAGAAAAATTATTCAACTATCAAATAATTGTACCCATCCCCAAAAATGATGGTAGCAATGAACGTAAATTAGATCATTTAGTTAGTTAAAAAAAACAATCGAGATATTATTCAGAGTTATACTTATTACCTAATTACTATGAAAAGTTCTGGAATAACTTTAATTGAAAGGTTTTGTTTGTTTTTAATTGAATTCATTGATATAATTTACAATGAAACTAAGTACCTAGGCATAATTTTGGACAAACGATTGATGTAGGGACCTCACCTGAAAGACAAAAGAAAAAATGCCAATAGCACACTTCATATTTTTCGTCAATTACTAAAATATAAATTACGTTTTGAAACAAAATTACTTATTTTTCAGTCAATAATCACACCAGTCTGGTCTTATGGTATTTAGTTATGAGGACCAGCTGAACCATCTAACACTCGACCAATACAATCCTTTCAAAATATAACATTACGAGTGTTAACTGGTGCGCCGTAGTATATAGCAAATAAAAACTAACTTTTACAAATATTTAAACAACAAAACTGTCAAAGAACTTAAAGTTTTACGCTATACTAGATTTCACTCAAAAATTACTATTAACATAAACCCTTTAATTAAAAAAATGTACACCACTACATTACCTGATAACCCACCACGGAGACTTAAACGTAAATGGAACCGAGACCTATTGATTTAACAAATTAACAATAACAATAAAACTATAACTTGTGTACAGCTTTAACTAAAACTAATCGAGGTGTTACCAATGTGTGACTTAATTTTAACACTATTAATGCAATGTAATTGAATAAGTCAACAAAAAAAAAAGTTACAAATTTTATATACAGATTGATTTATTTAATAAAAGTAAAAAAAAAAAATAATTTTTTTCTTATCCCCCATGATTGAGTATCGTAAATAGAGGCCCTTAAGAGTACATTTCATATTATATTTATTTTTATATTTAATATTTAGTCAGAAAGAAGTTCTTATTTGAATAATTATTTGTTAAAATTCTATAATTTTTAGAAGAAGCAAAAATCAAGTTAATAACCAATAAACAATTGGAAAAAAATTATAATTTTTACTCATAATTATGAGTTTTTATGATTTCAAACTTAAAATGAATTTTAATGAATTTTTCTTTATTTAGAACATCAAAATGTAATTTTGAAAAGAAAAATGGAAATATCTTGTGTTTGCACAGAGCCTTTCAATTACAAAAGAGATGGAATTTAATGCGGTTATAATAAAAAATAATAACAATATTATATTATTGAAAAATAATTTTAGTATTTATAACTAAAACTATAGTTGCGCTAAAGTACGCAACTATTAATTATAAATAAATAAATTTTATTACCTTTAATTAACTATGAATTATATTAATAAAATGTATTACATACATATATTAAATGTATATTGTTTAGTTTAACTTAAACAAACAAATTTTACAACATAAAATAATGAGAGCTATAATTTTTAACATACAAGTTAACAACGTAAAAAAATGAAAAATAATGTTTTTACAAGCTAAAAAGTATTTTATAATTTAATAATAGTAATTGTTCATATTAATTTAGTTATCAACACAATCATTGCATTCATTTTTGCAGTCTGGCCATTCTTTTAACCTCAGCTCATAATTTAATTATTTATTATTGTTAAATACATTAACATAATACTTACATTCATATATACAACAAATATAAATAAGAAATTAAGAAATTTACTATGAAAAAAGTAAATTTATCAATTAAAAAATACTAAGCATCATTATGCATATTAAAAATTTTAATTTCAAAAAACGTTTAAAATATATATATATTTTTTTTTTGCATTTTCAAAATAAATTACTTTTGCGTTAAATATGAAACTAATAATTATTATTATTATTTAAAGATGTTATTTTTAAATCTGGTACTTTAGCTTTCATAATTAACCGAGTACTAATTATGAGATCATTTTGTGATCCTAGAGTTTCTAACTTAATATGCCTTAAAATTGTTGATACCACACATTTAATTTGATTCATCGCAAATTTTTGACCTGAAATATTGTTTAAAAATATATAATATAATAGAAATGATAAACTGTATCAAAAAGAGATACTTTAAATTTATTGACTTTTAAACGAACTATATTATAAACCACTTACCTATACAATTCCTAGGCCCTGCGCTAAATGGTATGTAAGCATAGGGATGTCGTGCAAGGCATTGGTCTGGAATAAATCTATCAGGATTAAATTCTTCTGGATTTGGGTAAATTGATTCAGTACGGTGTAGCATATGTGGCGAAATTGCTATATAGGTATTTGCAGGAATTGTATATTTTTCTAAGCAAAATTAATGTAAATAATAGAGATGTAAACTAATTAATGAATTCGACGTACCAAGGTAAAGAGGTTGTTTTAATTTTCTTGAGATAGCAGTCACGCTAGGATACAATCTCATCGTTTCTTTAATAACTCTTTCTAAGTAAGTCATACTTTTCAGATCTTCTAATCTAGCCTCTCGATCACTATTCCCAAAAATTGCATTAAGTTCATCTCTAACGTTTTGCTAATAAAATAATAATATTACATTAAATACACAGTATGATGTTGTGGCAACAGGAAAGAAATAATGTAGTAATGTACAATTTACAACTAATATAATTTAAAACTTATATATTAAATTGGATTTTTTATTCTAAAATTCCCATACAAAAAAAAGTTTAGTTTCATAAATAAACATTTTATTAGATAATCTGAGTATTAACTTGTATATATTGATTTAATCCTAAGTGTATTAATGTCATTGTTAAAACAATAGACGAGGTATCGTGCCCTTCAAATAGAAACGTATCAACTTCTTCACGAATATCTTTATCAGTCATAATATCTGGATTTTCTTTAGAAACGTCAATTAAGAGCTCTAAAAACGAATAAATTTTTTTTGTCCCTAAAAATAAATACCGACTATTAATATTATTTTTAATATAGGAAAGTATATTATTAAAGCACTTTCAAACCATTTTCATTGACTAAATTTTTTTTTGAATCCAGTTTTTCTCGTTTTTCTTTTATAACCTATTTATATATATAATCATAAATTACACATGTATTTTTATTAAATTAATTTTAATCATACACAGTTATGAGAAAATTACATTTTCAGTAAAGTCATGCAATATTTTCAGTGATTTATGAAAGTCTCTTCCATTTTTACTAAGGTTAAAAATTTTTTCATTCCACAGCCAGAATTTAGCTATTCGATCAATTGATAAGCTACTTACACTAATACAAAATAATATAAAAATATAAAATATTTCTTCATATTTTGTATTATTTTTATAGTTGATTACCTTATAACAGCTTTTACATAATCCTTTGATTTTCCTTCTTGTGACTGTATATTGACACCCATTATGGTTTCTATTTTGATTTTAAAAAATTATAAAAATTTAGTATTATGATGTGAATAATAATAAGTATATAAAATAAAAAAAGAATTATTTTCATACCACATACTATGTCCAATGCACAAAGTGTAACTAAAGAGTTAATATCTTTTATGGGTCCATGGTTTTCTGATGCACTAATAAGATTTTTCATTAAAGATTGAGAATGCTTATTAAATATAGAAATGTACGATTCTAATATTTTGAAATGAAATGTATGAGTCAAAAGTTTCCTCCGCGAACGCCATTTATTACCTATTAAAAAATAAATATATTATAATTTATATATTAGAAATTTTTTTTTCCTTTATGTTAATACAACGTTAATTATTGATTTGATATATAATTATTATTCAATCATAAAAAGTATTAAGTTTACTATGTATTATACAGATTAATACTTTAATCATTTCCCACATACTTACAAAATGCCAATGAATTTCACAGATTATTGATAAATCCTGATTAATTCATTTTTATGGCTTTTCTATTTTTTCATGTATTTCTATGGCTCCTTAAATTTTATACCTTTTTATGGTTCTCAATATTTAGCATTTTATGGTTTCTTTATTATAAATTTTGAAACTTATTGGGAATCTATAAGATAGCGCAGAAGAAAAAACGCAGAAATAAGGGAAATTACCAAAGTGCCTTATATAACAAGCTATGTGAAGGATCAAAGAATTCAGTGGCTTGAACACGCGATGAGAAGAGAGGAAACAAATGATGTAAGGGCGTCAATTGAATACAAACCAACAGGTAGAAGACCCAGAGGTAGACCAAAGAAATATTCATCAATTTATATTTTAAAAACATTGTATTATCGTGGTACGTAGGTCAATAACAATAATTATAATTCTGTTATCAATTAAATGAGTAAATAATAAATATATCATTCTAAACCATTGATATTCGTGACGGACGCAAGATATTGATGTTCGTAATTGTTATTATCACTTTTTTGTCACGCAGTTAACGGTAATCATTCATAACTGTAATGAATGATAAATTTAAAATTCAACGATTGCTACAACCCCAATACGTTATATAATATTAAAGTAATAAGTATTAATACAATTTATATTTACTATTTATGTTATGTCGTGGATAAATAGATAAATAAGAAAACTATTACACAAAAAAAAAAATTAAATTTCGACGATTAAGCCAATGATATGATTCAAAACGTTTTCCCAGAATTTTATTGTAATAGAATTAAATATAAATAATAAAAATAAAATGACTTTGAATTGATAATTTTATTAGCACTTTGTATTGTTACTTATTTTTTACATTTGAAAATTTATTTTCTAATTTAAATACTTGAAAGTATATTTATTATTATAAGAGTTAAATGTTTAATATTTTGTTAGGCAAAAAATGACTTTATAAAATAATTTTTATTCTAAATAGGAAATATCAGACCTCACTTTATCAATTTTTGAGCTCAGTATGATTTGAAACATTGATCCCTTAATTACAACAATTAAACATAACAAACTTTTATTTATAAATAAATATATTATACCTGAGCTTGTTAAGAGTCCTTGGTTTAACCAAGGTTCGAGTAGTTTGTATTCGGGTCCTTTGGTGATATGTTTCGTGCTTGATAATAGAACCTGTAATTAATAAAATATCAATGACATGAATTTTGAAAAACTTGTCTTAAATATTTCAAATGTGTATTACCATTATATCATTAGGATTATTAAGGGCAACATAATTTCGCATCATTATCCTAAAGTATATAATCGAGCCATGTTTTTTGAATAAATCAAAGAAGAAAGGAATATACTCTGAAATTATTAAAACAACCATCAAAATAATTAATATTCTAATAACTTAATGTTTAACTGAACTAAGCTTGTTATTTTTTATTCTATTAGTAAAAAGAAAAATGTATTCAGAGTATATATTTATAAGAAGCTAAAATTGATTACCTAAAAATTTACTTCATTAAATTTGACGAAATAAAAGTAAATTTAAATTTAATGTTTGAAAAATTAAGTAGAGGTAGAAAATTAAGCTTAAAATATGTAATTAAAAAGAAAACATTTATACTAAGCTGGTTATAAATATATAATCACGTATAATTAATTATCGATTGGCTAATTAATACAAATTCTTATATTTTAATCTAATTTTTGTAAATTATCCTGTTATAAAAAAAAATTAGTATATTATTAAAAATGTCTATTTAGATGATCTTGTGATCAGTAGATTAGGATTGTTCTATGTCAATTCCAGTTAGTAGTAATATATTGTTTAATTATTACTTACACCTTCTAATACATTATAGATTAAAAATGTATGTTAATAATATAGGTTAATAGGTAAAATAGTGTTTTTACTTTAATAAATATCACATTTTTTTGAAGACACACAAATGTACTTTTCTTTTAAATTAATACAAATGAAGAATCCTAATTTTTGCTTTGAATTTCAATAGAATTAATTTATTTGTAAATTATAATACATAGTATGTATAAATAAGTACTTTTTTATTATCCATTTCTGTCATACCCATAAATTTGAAAAAGGGAGACTGACACTACTTGACCTAATAATGGACGATATTAACCTGTTAATGATTAAGAAATCTTTACTTCTAAGTTTTGTTTCAAACTAAACTTGATTTTTTTTTAATTTTTCATGAACAAATTCTTTTTATATAAAACAATCAAATTTTTTGACATATAATTAATATATTAATTTCAATACAGTGTTTGCTTTAATTTTATAATATACTATATGACTTTATACTAAATTATCAAATTCAATAAGATTTATTACCTCTAGGAGTTAGTCTAGCGACTTTTATTGAAAATACAATATTTTCCCATATATTTTTCGTAATGCATGGCAACTTTGATAATTGATTTTTTCTTATAATTTGTTGTTCATCATCATGAACATAATAAATCATACAAAAAAAAACTAATAAGATAAATAATAACAAAAAAATTGTATTTAAATTGTAAAAATTTGTTGTTAGTGCTGTTAACACGGTCATTGCAACGTTGTATTGACAGAAAAATGAATTTCACAGAATAGCGTTTTTAATACTTAATATTAAAAAAAAACTGTTCTAGAATAAATGTTTATGTCAGCAAACTAAAATGACTAATTAAAAAATCAAATAAAGTAGATTTTTTTGAATTGCTATTTATTGCTTATGTGATCGTTATATTCATACTACAAAAAAAAAAAAGGAAGTGGTTAAAAAATATGTAGCTTACATTGTTCCCTTATTATAAATACGTAACATGTAAGCATTGTATATATATAATTACGAAAATTGTAATCAATATATATTATATCTTAAGTTCATCATCGGAGTAAACGTATACGTAATAAAGTAGTAGTTGAACACGTATTTTTTATAAAAATTATTAAAAAATTTTATTCAGGTCATACGCATAATGTAAACAATACGCGTAATATAGAGTTTGACGTCTAAAACTCAATAGAGTGAGATAATATTTTACGCACCTAAATATAACTGACGTTTTTTATCAATTAGTTTCAATGTTATGATCAGCTAAGTTGATTTGTTTTAAAAACTTTAACAACGATATGAAACGATCTCTTAACGTCTTATATAATATGATTAAATAAATGACAATATTAAGTATCTACATTTAAAATATTTCAGGAGATCAATAAATCATGTATGGCAAATGATGTAAATTGAAAACTAATTATTATTGGAGGTTAAGGAGAAGAAACTTAATGATAAGCTGGAATTTTTTTAATTTAATCGGTAAGATAAATTTTGTTTCTTTTTGACCTGAATAAAGTAAAATTTGAGTACATTACAAAAATATAAAATTGAGTTAAATTTGTTTCTAGTTACTTTTAACGATTAATTAAAAAAAAATAAATATCATAAGTTTAAAAATTGAAATGAATTTAAAGTTAAATAAATTTGTCATATTGCTCAGCCTTGATAATAATAACAATATAACGCTGACTGTTATAGTCAACCCAAATGCCAGTAATTTATTATACAATTTTCGGTTTTGTGATTAATATATCAAGGTCGCGTAAATGTTAAATTCAAATTTTAATTAAAAAAAGATAACTTTAAAGTGTATAACTTATTTTTTTTTTCATAATATGTTTTATTATTTTTTTAAATTACTTTTTTTTTTACTTTGGGCGTCGATTTCTCAACAACAATTGAGTGTTTTTTTAATATTATAATACATTTCAAGAGATTTAATTTGATACAAGTTAAAATAGGGTAGATGTTCCAAAATATTTTCAGAAATTGAGCTGAACAATTTTTTTTTACATGCGTGAAAAATCTTAACTTAAGGTTAAATATTAATTTTAAACCTTAGTTGTATATAGGTTTTTTATTTGATTTTTACATAAGAAATATCAAAATAAATCATAATTTTTTTTAGTATACACTACTCAAATTCCATTAAGATTAATTTTTTTTTGAAAAGGTTATATCAAAATGAAAAATAGTGATAAAATGGTGGTTTCTTTCAAATCCTTCTTCAAATACTTAAGTTTTTAGTTAGATATTCTTAGAAAGCATAAAAAAAAAGATCTTTTGTTAATACTACTAAAATTTCATTAGGATCAGTGTTTTAATAAAAAATGTTATGTAGAATTAAAATGCTGTATTTTTTTTGAGAGTGCGTATTTTTTGATATTTTTATTTTTTTTAAAGATGTTTTTCTTAATTTCTAAAATTGAGGGAGTTTTTTGTTATTAATCTAATCAAACATCAATTCTATGTGGTAGGGAATATTATTTTCCCTCTGAGTATTTTTATTGCTTTTATGTAACTGTTTAACAAATTACTTATGATCGAATGATAGCATGGTCTTGACCAGTCTTCCTTATGCCGTCTTGTAGAGAATTAAAATAGTATTTTTATTTTTAAGCTCATATTATAATATGTTTTTAATTATTACGGAATTTATTTCCCTTTATCGAGTTTTCACTGTATTTGACGAAACTTGGTTGTAAAAAAAAATTGTATTTATGTTACTTATTTACACATTTTTAATTATTTTAACTAAATAATTTGGCTATTTTCAACATTTCGTTTATTTTAATGGTTTCCAAAGAAAAAACATAGTTCAGATGAATAAAGGTCTGCAAAGTGTTTAGCAATTATGCTACCTGAGATTTCTACTTGCTCTGCTGTATAATAAAATATATTATTGTAAAAATGTAATATTTATGACCTTCATTTTATTTGATAGATGAATTTTTCAAGTACTTACATTAAATAAAATAAGTTTTTTTTAGGCGTCATGGGAGCACGTGTATCCAATGCTGTTACTTTAATTCAGTCTTAAATGTCTGTGTACAATACTTGTCGTCAATCGATTTCATTTAGATAACAGAAAGCTCTATCTATTGGACAACACATCATCTAATAAAAAAAAATAGTTTTCCTCAGTGAGGCGGTATTAACCATATTTTAATAGCACATTTAAGCAAAATAAAAGTTTAATAATTACCAAAAAAACATTTACAAATACATTGAATTTTTTTAAAAAAAATTGAAAATTCATAAATTTCTTTTTTCTGAAATAACTGTACAATTATACAAAGTGATTCTTATTTAAGGTTACTTTAAACACTCGTATTTTTAAAATAATTATTATATTAAGAAAATTATTTTTGGTATTTTTTAGCGTAGATGATGTGCGTGATTGTGTCAAGTGGACGTTTAGGATAAAGGTAGCCGACCTCAAGTAGTTGGGATTAAGGCAAAAAAAAAAAGAAGAAAAAGATTTTTAGTATTTTTTATTTTCATATACTTCTTAATTTATTAGTTATTAATTACTTATTGAACTTGCTTCTTATACCTTATAAGAGTGTCAATTTTTTTTTAATGCAACATAATTTTTAATTAGCTTATAAAATAAAAATTATCTATTAAGAAAATTACTTGACAATATAAACTTTGATCATAATACCATTTTAAAATATAGACAAAGGTGTGATCAGGTTATAACAATATTTACTATTAAACATTTTTCGACCGCACCTAACCTCTCGCCTAGATTTAAAAATTTTAAAAACTTTCGAAGTACTAATTAAAAATTTATTAAAGACTAGTCATTTTTTTAATTAAATCATTTTTTAGTATGTTATCATTTAGAATAGTTTACACTCATGCAATATACAAGATACAAATAAAAATGTAATTAAGAACTGATAAATTAAGAAATAATTTGTAAATAAACAAATATCAAAAATCTATTTTTTAAAAAAATTATTATTTCAAGAGAATTTAAGTGGCTAGCATTAAAAGAATCAATTTGTATAATGAAAACAAAGTGGAAATCATAGTAAATTATTAAAATTCACTTTTATTAAACCTTAAAATTTTATTTTATTTTATTTAATACTTTTGCCATTATTACATTCTTAAAAATAAATATCATAACATAAACTTATATACTGTACAAAATTTGTTTGCTATTAACATAAAATATTTAATGATAATAATTATGACCATACATTTATGTATGTAATTTATAGATAATTTTCCAGGACTGTATATATCTTTTAGCTTCAATAAAAACTAAGAAGTTATTTTAAATTTTATAGTAATATGTTGTTCTTTTTAATTATTATTATTATATTTTATTTTTGTGTTTATTGCCACTATACTCAACTCCTAACCCTCAAATTCGGTGAAAATTTCTATTAAGATTTAAGGACAGATAAAATTTCTCAAAAATTACAATTTTTAATATAGTCTACATAAGTGGATTTTTTAAATTTTTTATTGTATTGATGTAACTTATTAAAAAGCGTTAATGAATTAATTAATAAATAAATATATCTTTAATGTATTTTTTATTTGAATTGCATTTGTATAATTTTGAAAATTTCATTATATAACGTTTTATAGTGGGAGAGAGATAGATAAAGCTTCAAATATAATCACATAACATTTTTTATGATATTTTTATTTTGTTTATAACTTACTAATACAGTTATATGTTTTTAATTTTAATATATTATGTTAATATTACCTTTGACATTATTCCTAGATCAGATAATGATTTTAACATTTAAAGTAGGTGGTTTTAGTGCCACATAATAAAAAATCATTGCCGCGAATGGTTAGTGCCACCCAAAGAAAAACCTCAATCAATTTTGATAGAGAAATTTTATCAAGGGTTTATGATAATGTTTTATTAATACGAACAAAATAATTATTCTTATAAATAATTATTGTTCAAGACAAGAAAAAAAATTATCATATTGATAAATATATTATAGATTCAATAGTAATGATATATTTATCAAATTGAACAATGAATTTATTATATAGATCGAGGTTTTTCTTTGGGTGTGGTATATCTCATTTATTATTAAAACAAAATAAATTAGCGCCCTCATGATGTCATTTAATGGTTCTTTCTTGTGAATATCTTTGAAACCCCTTCAACTTCATAATTAGAAAAACATTGGCATTAGATGATTTTTTTTTAAATTTTGGAATCTAAATAAAATTATAAATTGTGTAAGGGTAGCTAAAAACCTAAAGAATTATTTTGATTACTTTCAAGCCAATTGCGATACTAATTTAGCTAAATCCTTAGTGATGAAGTTTAGCAATGTATCCAGAATTGATGAGATATTTTTCATAAGAAAAAATTCTCATGTTATGTAAACTGTTTACACTTTTTTGGTTTCTGAGAGAGTTCAGTTCGAACATACTTTGAATTATTTTCTTTTTTAGTACTACTCAGTGAAAATTTCTTGAAATATATTTTGGTCTGGGTGAGATATAGAAGCGCAGTACAGAAATGTATAATGATAAAAACCATTATCAATGATTTATATTAAATCTATTTAAATGTTGGAAACTCACAATATTTTGATACAAAAACTATTATTAAATTTTCATCCTCTAAATAAGATTAGTTCTAATTGGTAAGTTAAATAATTATTTATATTTATTAAATAATAAAGTTGACAATTGTAAAATATACAAATCAAGAAATGTATTCAATATTTACTAAGTTTGGTATCACCCAATTAAATTCGAAATTATTATTAAAAATGCTTTTTATTTTTTTAAAAGTAAAGCTTAGATTAAATAAATAAAATAATACCCTTATAACTTAAATACTTTACAAGGCGTACTTAAAAAGTTTCCCAATTATTTAATTTAGATATATTAATAACTAAAAGTAAAAATAAAATTGACAACAATATTTATATTTTGTGAATAGTTGGTTTCATCAATTATGAACCAATAGAGATCGTAGATCATTGTTAATAATTATTGCTGTAAAAAATTTACGTGTAGTAATTTTTTTTAAGCACAAGGTTATAATAAAAAAAAATTGACACAAGAAAAAATATATACAATTAAAAAATAATTTATATTAGTTAACTTTTAATTACAATTATCTTTTGGCATACTTGCGTAGAATACTTTTTCGAATACCTCTAGAAATACTTTTATAAATCATTATATCAAATCTAAAAATTATTGATTTAATTATTTATATAATAAAATACATTACACAGTCCTAGAGAATCAATGTTTTTATCAAAAAATGTAAAATACCCACATTTTTTATTGTAAAATTCTCTTATTTCTCTGAAGTATTCCTGAGTATGTTAAAAATTACAAACAATACCAAATTTATTATACTTGAAAAACTAATTTTTACTTTAATATGTTGATTTTGAAAATAAATGTAGATTCCTTAAAACTCTTAAGTATAGAAGACTATATAAATTGCATGATTTATAGTTATTATTAATTGTTTAGGTTAGATAAGGATTTAAAAATGTATTCTGCATAAGTATGCTATTTGGTTATTGTTGTAATTAAAAAGTATGAAAGCATCATACTATCTTTCATAAATGAAAAAATAATGATAGTATTTTCCACTCATACAAAAGACTGTAGTCTGGTATCTTCATTATGTGTTTATATCATGTGAAAATATGCAATTTATTTTCATATTTTACATTTCAATAATAATGATGATCATTTTGTTCAGTCATAGTAATTAATAAGATATGAAGGTATGATTTTGCATCAACATGTTGTATAATATAAATTCCATAGACTTAACGTGGTTTAATTAACACTTTTGGGATTAAACCTTTTTCACGAATAAAACCTTTGGTATTTCATGGTGTACTATATTCTTCTACTTTATTCATAAAGATGAGTTACTATAGTATTATAATAAAAACTTTATTATCATTAATAGTACATTGCTGGTTAATAAGAATTTGTAACATGTATTAATAAATTTTTGGGACAATACAAAAAAAAATTAATTTTAATAGTAATGTATCTTTTCTATTATTCTATTAATCATTCTATTATTATTTTATATTTCTATCATTCATAAGTCAAAAATAAGTTGAAATTATTGATCTCGGTAGTCGAATTATTTACAGAATTAATAAATGTAATTTATTAATAATTGAATGTATTATTAAGTAGTTTTTAATAGAGCTATAGAATATTCTGTTACTTGAGTATACATTCAAAAATAAAATGCAATACCTGATATTATCAAAAATTTCTTGTATTATGTGGTAAAATCCACCACTATAATTAACTATTTAAAAAAAACGGTAGCGCAGTGGGGTCGCGGCATAATATGGACGTGGTATAGTTGGGACAAGTATAGATGATATCTGACAGTGATTAAAACCACTATCATAAGAAACGCTTCGATGCAAATATGTAGATATAATTTAATTTTAAGAAATTGGTATATTATTTCAAAAGCAACAATAACTTCTGTTCCCTTAATTTTATCCCAATTAATTATTTGATTTATAATTATAATATATGAATAAGTAATACTTTAAGTAATTAAATTTAGTATGAAATTGATATTCAATAATTTAATATTGTAACTTTTAAGGAGATATTATAAAAATAATAGAGTAGTATATTTTTTTACTTATAACAAAGTTATAAGTTTTATATACTGGACTACAAGGAACTTTCATCAAAAACAAAAACATACTTTTCTAAATCAACTTTTCGAGTTGTTTTCAAATTTGTAATTAGACTTTTTCTATCACTTCTAAGTTTTAATATTATTTCTAATTATTAAAAAAATAAGTAATTACATAAAAAAAAATTACTAAGAACAAAAAAAAATTGTTTTAAATTAATACTGATTTTGATTATTAATATGTTAAATAAAGGAAAATGACATATTTAACCTATTTTTTTAATCGTTTAAAGTTGATTGTTGTAAATGTTTATAATAAAAAAAAATAATTTATTTTTCCATAACTTTTAGCTCAATTGGTAAGTTTGACATTGACATCATTAAATAGAAAATTTTATAACAATTAAAAAAATTGTATCGTTAAGATCAATATACAGTCAGAAAGTTTTATAATTACTATTTAGTGTAAATTTATCAGAAAAGCTCAATATTTTTTTGCATTTTTATGGTAATAGATAACTTAAATAGAAGTAATAGTAATAATTTCCTAGGAACTTTTGTTGTTTGTTGAAAAGATTCTATAATTGAAATATTGAGAACTTAATTAATNATTAAAAAGATTCTACAATTGAAATACGAACTGAATTCATTTTAATGATTTACTTTAACTAAAAACTAATAAAAAAAAAAGTTGTTAAAAAAATATCTAAAAATTCATTGTTAATTCAGGAAAAACTAACTATCATTTTTTTTGAAATGATTTATATAGTAACATGTTACCAAAAAGTTTGGAGTATTATAGTCTAGTAGTAGCACCCACAAATAGAGTAAAAAATTATTGAGTTACAAAGTAAAAATATTTAATTTTGCAATTGAAA